TGGTTGTTCTCAATAAAGACACGAAGGATCAGAATTGTTTTTGTGTTATTATTTTAGGCACATTATACCTGTCAAAACTCTTGACTTAGATGACGGTCATATCACATTTTATGACAAATTAATGCAGAACACCATGAAATTCCAAAAGTTTTTCTTGCAACTGTATATGTGTAATAAATTATATTTAAAATGTTTATAGATCTATATATGCAAGTAGTAGACAGGCAAATCTTGCACAAGAAACAGGAGACTGAATTGGAGAACATTTGTATGCAAAGTACAAGCTCAATCACAGATTTTCAAGTTTTCAGAAACTTGAAGGTATTCCCCATAACACAAGCTTCAGTTTAAAATGAAGCTTGATCCTCTTTCAAAAGGATCAATTGTTCTCTTAGAAATAAAAAATCCATACATCTCTGAAGATTATATAAGTAACCAAACAGATGAAAAATTTACCAAGAACACAGGCAGCTGGAATTTGTCATTCAAAACCACAGCTTGCACACTGCATGGTCCACAAAGTCGAGCAACAACATCATTCCCCAAAAAGTTTGCATGGAAAATGAATAAAAGAATCCCAGATCCTATGGAAAAACAATCAACACTCAAACATTTAGAGAGCATAGCAAAAATAAAGAACTGCCATCTCTCTATGAAACAATGATTACCGAATTATAAACAAGTTCCTAATACACAAACAGATGGCAGTTTGAAATATACCTTGAATATTAAAAAGTAGCTCTACAGATTGCATTTTAATATTCTTAAACCATCTAATTGTGCAAATCAGATCCCTTCTTTTCTTTCAAAACAAATGCTCCAGTGAGATTCAGAAAGATAATCTGGAAAGCAAATGCTTAACAAGAGATGAATTAATTTGAGAATGTTAAATGCTAATTTCTTTTTGCATTCTGTATGCAGATTATTAAACAACTCATTAATATAAAGTTTTAATATAAAGTTTTGTTAAATAAAATCACCCATTTTAATTTTGGTAAATCCAATTTTTAGGATTTTGATTCCAAGAATTTTTCTTATCTGCTTTTTCTCTCATAACCCAATTTCTATACACTTGGAAAATTCAGATAAGCTTAACACCACTATTAAATATAGTACAGTGTTTCTCTCAAAGAAAAAAAAGAGCATCCAAGAAACACAGTCTGTCAATGTGAATATTCCTTTTTAAAAAATGCTGTCAAATAACCTACTACCATTACTACTACCATAATCTACTACCATTAGTAGATTATTTTAGTTTCAATTTTTTTTTTTATTTAAATATTCCAAATGGTTGATGCCTGTAAGGTAGACATCACACCCTTAAATATCTGGATTTTCATTTGACTGTTTGATTAAATGTGTCTCCAGATACAACCTTCAGGCACATTCTGTGGGGCCTTATAGGTGAATTCTGAGGAATAATCTGGTCCCTCACAGAGCAGATGACATGCAATATCAAATATTGGTTCCATCAAACTAAGACGGGCTTCAAAGTATTCCCTGATTGTTTCTTCTGCCACTCGGGTGAGCCTAAAAACAAGCAAAATTAACATCTATTATAATAAAACTTGTAATTTTTCTACTAGAAAGGTGTCATAGTTTATTCTCAATGAATGATATCCAGTAATATTTTGCTAATTGATGACCTTCTGTTCACAGAGCACCCTAAAATATAATTAAATGGAATTAAATGGCCAAAAGCCAATTTCTGCAGCAACCCTCCTTCCCACCTCTCAGACTGCTCCTGAGGGCCACTATTGTAAATCCAAACCACTTCTGAATTCAGTATTTAAAGCTGCATTACCTCTATTTCCCAAATGCCTAAAGGCCCTGCCCTCAAAGTCCTTGTACTAAAGTTGCTCCTACGTTACAATAGAGATCTGCTCAAGAGGATGAACTTTAGACTTTTTATAAGCTAAGTCCTTTTCTTTCATTTTACCTGTTATAAAAATAAAATTAGATATAAACATGAAAAGCAAATACGTAGAGAAGACAATGAATCTAAGAATAACTTCAATAAAAGTCCCTCACTCAAACAGCTCCACTAATTCATTGTTTTAAAGAATCCATTCTGCATAGTAGCATGTTTTCTATACTGCAGATACGGAAAGTTCTTTTTCCCCATGTTCTTTATCTTCCTCTTTGTTTTTTTCATGTAAAAGTCCATTCATCCTCCTTGTCTTCCAGCAACTGGATATGTCTGAATCATGTCATGATTAAGCAGAGTGCTACTTACTCTGCCCATGGGGACTCTAGATTTAAATCTATCAAAGCTGAACTCCACAGGGAATGTATGGATGGATTTTTATTTATTTTTTTAAAATATTGCCAGTGTGGTATTTTTTATTGTTCTCTGGATGGTTTAATTGGTGTAATTGTGTTTTAATTTTGTAAACTGCCAAGACTCACCAAAATATGGCAGACTGTAAATATAATAATTAAATCAAGATTTTAACAATTAAACAACAGGCTTTATCAGAAAAAAAGTACTTCATATAAAAGAGTTAAGCCAGGATAAAACTTCCTAACAGTGATTATAAAAAATTAAAACTAAAAATAGTTTCAAGAAGACATGCAAATAATATTCATTCACAGGAAAAAAAATACTGAAAACAAATATAAATAAAGAATAACTTTAGGATTTTCCAGATTTGGAATGCAATCCAAGATTTGGCTTGCATAAAGCGACAGTAAAAATCCTTCAGACTTGAAGAATCCTAAGAATTCATGTCAGAGCCTAACAATCCCTCACAAAGTAAAGTTATTAATAAAGGCAACATCCTCCTAAACATTAACAGTCAGTAAAATAAGCATGCAAGGGGTCATCTAATCAAGCATTATTAAAAGAAGTTTAAGAAATATAATTCTTCTAATAAAAAACTGACATCAACATTTCCTGATTCACTAAAGAACTGAACCACCTCCAAAGCAAGGACTTACATAGCCAAGTGACTCCTGAGAAGTTCGGAGACTGATAAATTATTACACTGCTTGGCAAAATGAAAAGCATTGCTCTGATGCTTTGATGAAAGGTTGCAGTCAGCTCCATTTTCAATCATAAGACGGACAATATCATAATTTCCTCTCTTACAAGCCTGCATATGAGAGTTTACCAAGAGATATTATGAAAAGTCAGTTAAATATTTAATTGACATGCATATTTTGGGATAGATGATGGTAGCACTGGATTGCTTAGATTACTGCAAATGGGTTCTACGTAGGCTGGCCTTGGAAAGCATTCAGCAGCTACAGTAGTACAAAATGCAGTGGCCTGGGCAGAAATGGGTACATCGTGATGTACTTGGGTAAGCCCACTGCTCTGGGAGCTGTGCTGGTTGCCACTTGGCTTCTGGCTGTGCTGTAATACGCTGGTTGTCTCCTTTAAGACCCTACACATACCCAAACCAGGTTATCTGAGGGACTGCCTTCTCCCATATTCATCTGGCCATATGGTGAGATCATACAGGATCAATTCTCTCCCATCTGAGCTTAGTGGCACAAACATTAACTTATTGCAGTGCAACACACAAGTTCATAATCTAGCAATAAATGTTGAGTTATCTGCAACATCCAATGTTTTCATAATATTTATTATAGCTCAATATCATCATATTTGTTTTAGTACCAAATATGAACATTTCTAGTACTTATGAATTAGCATTTAAGTGTGAATCTTATTTGATTTATAATTAATCTAGAAGAATTTTTACAGAAAATAGTAATAATCTGTCTAGAAGAAAATATCACCAGGTTTACCATTGTTCTTCAAGTTTACTCATATTTCATGTTAACAGCAAATACCTTCATTAGTGCTGTTTCACCATTCTTTTGCTGCACATTCACATGTGCACCAGCTTCCAAAAGCAGGGCTACAGTAGTTAGATTGTTCTACAAAAACAAAATGAATTACATTTGAATATTTTGAACCTAAGCAGAACATAGGTAAACTGAAAATAATGAATCAGAGATCCATAAAAAGGTTGAAGCAGACTTATACTATGATCAGTGATTTATGTATCAATAGTATAATACAAGGCTTCCAATTTTCCTTTTTATTTCTTTGTGCATGGGGAAGAAAGAGAAATAAAAGTGTAGGTAGAGCAAGTTTGCTGCAGAATATTGTTTCATTTATTATACTGAACTCAGTTTTATTTACAGCCAAAAGGCCCAAAAGCAAGTTACAAATATAATCCAGACTTGGCATTAGATAAAACAGTTTAACAAATAAAATATTTAATAAATATTACATGATACACTTAAAACCCCAACTCATTGATTTGTTACTAAAAACTTTGTTTTTATAGCCATAGTTAAAAATCTGGCTGTTGCCACTGTAATCTCAGGATTTTCATC